CAGATAAATCACCGGACCCCCCCCCCCCCTCCCCTGCCCTCCTGCCCCTCCGCGTGTGCTTTTTACATAACCATCGCACTTAACCGGTGTCCTCCTGTGTTTTTGTAGTGAAAGATTGTCTAGAAAAATGGACGCCTCGCTGGGTTGCTTCAGATTGTTGCTCCCTGGTGTTTAATTGCTGCACGCTGTGCAACAGTGTTTTTTGTGTGTGTGTGTGTGTTCCTGGTATACAGTATATATTTATGGGGAAATTGTCATAATACTTGTATGCGTGTGTGTGTGTGTGTGTACGTGCTAGTCAGACCTTTGCAAACCTTTCCAGGGGCTGCGTTAAGGTCGTGGGAGGTTACTTACTCATACACACGTCATCGTTGCTAAAAACTGAGTAAACGGAATAGACGCTCATAAGAAGTAACTGGAAACAGCGTGTAGAATGCTGACTGACGTTGTCTTTTCTTTTTTTTTTTTTTTTCGCTCATTTTGAAATTGACCTCTTAGTTCAGTGTCACCTTATATGTTTGCAAAAATGTTTTAAACTACGCCGTCTTCCCTTAAACACACCGTTATTGTCAGGTCTCGTGCATGTGCTATCTGAGCAGCCATCTGTACACTAAGACTGAAACCCTGTTTGTTTGCTAAATGGTCTCAACCACTGCGTGCAAACTTGCAGCCTGGCAAACGAAGTCACATGATTGTTTGTTTATTTGTTAAAAAAAAAAAAGAAGAAGAAGCTTTTCCCGTCTTCGTGCTTAGCAAATTTAAATTTACGGCAACCGTAACTGGCACTGTTTTGACTCTTTGTAGGAAATGTGTCTCTGCTGTAAAGACTTCAGAGAACTGACTGTCCCTCACACTTATTTTATCCAACTCCTCCTTTGCCTCGGCTCTTCGTGCACTAACCGATATGATTTCTTCAGCTGCTAACACAGGGTCTTGACTGCATGACTCCGTCCTCACCCATCGCTGACCTTTGCATGGCCAATTAAAGCGGCTGAATTGATGCATATTGTGGTTATTAACCTCACAGTCACCTTTTCAGTGCCTGCATGAATGCTAACCTTTATTTGTCTTTGTTGGACTTCCATGCTTTCACACTTCACTGCACCCAGCAGCTGGATCAAAACCAGCCTGAGAAGATTTTGGAGGACCAGAAGAGGGTAGGTACCCACTGAGCACTGGGCTGCTTGTTCACAGGAAGAACTGTTCTGTACATGCATCACATGACCTAGGGCCTCACCTGAAAGACGAGCACGCGCTTGAATCTTCCATAAGACAAGTTGGGTTTTTATTTGAGATAATATGGGTATCCTGAACATGAAGTGTTATTTGTGTATTTTTTATTTTTCGAAATTCATCAAGTGGGCCGGATTGAACACCCTAGGGGCCCAGTTTTGGCCCGTGGGCCTTATCTTTTACACCCCCGATTTATACGAATACATAATGCATGATTTCATTTGTAATTTGAAACCATTTTAAAAGAGGCAAAACTGATACTACTACTTGAGTTACTTTTATCTCAAAGGACAAGGACAGTTGATAGTTCTAGATCCAGGGCATCACATCGAAGGAGTGAAAAACATCACTCACCACTAGTGGGCGTCCAGACAGGATGTTGGACCAGCATCTTTCCACCCTGGATAGAGTGTAATCACTTTATCTCAGACCTGCACAAAGATGGCTGTGTCCCCTGTGGTTATTGTCAGTGTCAGGACTCGACCTACAAACACATGGTATTTGTTCTGGAATCTTAAGCTTCTTGAAAGCCAAGGATTTCAGAACGAGCGTTCCCCACAGCATCAAGGAGGCTGCAAATTGCAGTGGGTGACACGTGGGTGACACAAAAGCTACTTAGACACGTACCAGTGTTCAGTCATCCCTGGCTCGACTGCCTACGAAGAAGAGTGTATAATGTTAACAGGCCTGAAACAAACCCACTGACCCCCGGAGCCTTGGTAGAAAGCCAAGGTTTGTGTCAAAACCTGTTTTGGTTTTAGTTGAATTATTTAGATACGGGAGTTGTCATGTGACTGACAGGAAACAGGATCCTTTTTAATAAGGTTTACCATATAAAAATAAAATAAAAACTACAATAAATAAGCTATCCACATTTTTTAGAAAGTCTTTCAGCAATTAATATATGGATTAAAGTTTTAATATACTGTATTTTCTGTACTATAGAGCGCACCTGAATATAAGCCGCACCCACTAAGTAAAAAAAAAAACAAACAAACAAACTATTAATTTACATATATAAGCCGCACCGGACAATAAGTCGCCGATATCTAAACTAGCGTGTTCTTCTTTGGATTGCGTCCCCTGTCTGTCTCATTTCTTCACTTCCTGCTAGAACGCCCCCTGGTGGCTGAAGAAAAATCCATAGAAAAGTTCAAATCGTGGGGAAAAAAGTAGCGACTTATAGTCCAGAAAACACGGTATATCAATATATATATATTAAAATCCAAACCTGACATTGTTCTATTGAGCTACTGTAACTGAAAGACCAGAAACTCCAGAGAATTCACGAAAGTCTTCACGCAGACTTTAGTTAAAAATTAGGTGTGAAAAATCTCCTGTGGTGGAAACATGTAACTATGAATAAGGAGCCGGTCGTTAGGTTGATTTCTTATATATATACAGTCTACGATCTGAGCTGACAGCGTACAGGACACACCTGCAGGACACCCTAATGATTTGGCCCATAATGAAGTGTTGGGGGAGGGGGGACGGGGGTTCAGAGGGTCTTTTGAAGTTGAGTACGTACTATAATAATTTAATCTGCTGATTAAAAATGGAAATGATATTTTTCACGCCTCCCACATCCTGCCCTGCTGTGCACCACGGTGGTAGCCGAGAGGTTTACGTAACGCCACTGTTGTCCGTCAACAACCGCCCACGGCTGACAACGCTTTCCACATAATCACACGTGTTGAAAAAAAAAAAAAAAAAAACTCGAGGAGGACTTCTCTCTCATTTCATTTCCTTTATCCCCTGGGAGGTCTGTCAGGTAGCTATGGGCTTTGGTTGCCACGACAACATCCGAGTCGTGCCACTGACTGCTCATCAGTGGATGAGTCACAGTGTGGGAGGGCCGGCCCCGGGTCAGTCCAGGCGTAAAACCAGGACCTCACATTGTCACAGCTGTAGCACAGTGGGATACAGTGTGTGGGTGGTATTTAAAAATATATATTACTTTATATTAATATATATTTAAATTTGAAGGAAGGGGTGATAAACAGTTGCTCTGGGTTTGTTTGGTCTCCTTCAGCTCAGTCCACAGTCTAATACTCATCAGTGCATCAGCAGTTAGTCCTGTCTCCCTGTTATACATCATCATCATCATCATCATCATCATCTTCATCATCATCATCATCATCATCATCCCTCTCCTCAATGCTGACGTAACATCAGTGCATCCTGTTTTTTTTCTTTTCCTCTTAGGGTGAAGCACTGAGACAGATTCTGGTGAACCGTTACTATGGCAACTTCCGTCGTACCGGTGGGCGAAGGGACAGTCTTACGTCATTCTCTAACGGTCCCCTCAGTCCAGTTGTACCCGGGAAAAGCCAATCAGGTGAGGCGTGGGGACTGCCACGGCACATGTTAATAAAACAGTAATATGTTGATGGTCGATGTTCCTGGGTTTTCCCCTCAAGACGTCACTGTTTACATCTAAAGATTAAAACGCCCTTAATGTGTCTCTTATGAAGCTGCTGTGTCTCTGTCTGTGAGAGCAGAGCAACAAGAGTAAACACAGGAGGTCAAACCAGGCAGTAAAGCCCCAACTAAACCCTCTATGTTTTTTTTTTGTTTTTTTTTTTTTTTTAATTGTTGGCTGTGAACCTGAAGCCCGGTCTGTAAACCTCAGCTGACACAGCAGCCAGTAATCCACCCAGGGAAACCCACTGAGTTCATCCATGCTCCGGAATGTGTCCCCAGATCACCTCCAATTATTGTTTGTTTGACTGTATCCGTCCACAGATGTAGGACACTTGGACAGCAACACTGAGTCTGGATCTGCTGGAGATTTCTTCCTGTTAAAAGGGAGTTTTCGATGATATCTGTGAAGCTGCTTCACTTTGTATTGTTTATAGAAACTCAGTTTAAACATTAAACTGCACATAAAGGAAATTAAGGAAAGTGAACTATCACTGTCACTGTGACACAGCACATCAACCAAGTGTGACCTCTGGTTTTTGACCCATCACCAAAGTGAGAGGGGGGGGAGGGGGGGCAGTGTGTTCCTCCATTTTTTCTCCCTGGTTAAGTGGATTTTTAAGGAGGATGTTTTAATCTTTAATAAATCTAATAAAACTGTAAAGTCCATTGAGACAGAACTCTCAACACTATCATTCATACCAGTCAGGAAAAAATGGCTAATCATACAGTATATCACGGGAAATTGCTTTGAAAAAGTGAGTCGACCGTTCGTATCTAAAGGAGAAACTGAGAAACTCCACCTGGTAACGAGGAGACACTCTGGTTCACCAGCTGTGTCCTGGAGCTGAGGCTTCCTCCGAGTTACATAAGTATCGAGCTGTCTGGCCCTGAGGCTCTTATCTAAGTTTTGCTGTGAGTTGCCCTTCAAGCACACACACAAACACACACACACACACACACACACTGCTGTTTTATCACTACCTGATAAACCCTGTGGTTGTGTTACCGTGTGCAGTCAAAACACTGCAGCAGTGTTGCTCTGCTCCTCTCCTCTCATATACAGCTGCTTTATCTCCAGTGTACAGATTAAAGAGGACACGGTGGTGCCAGTTTATCAAACACTCATTTTTCACGCCATACTGACCCAGTAACCAGAATTATCTGTGTTTTACAGTTTATTTATTTATTTATTTTATCCAGTGTAATATGGCTGTGATCCAATCATGTTAAAACAAACACGACTTTTCACTATATGTGATTTTTTTTTTTTTTTTTTGTTAACATACAGTTAGAAGACCATCATAGACGGAGACGTTTCCTACTTCTCTGTCTCCAATGTGTTTCCCATGTTGTTGGCAGTGTTCCAGACCACAGGAAGTAGACCCCTCCCCTCCACGGTCCACTTTTCACTGTTGCTAAGTGACAGGCTGCTACTTCCTGTTCAAACAGCCTTTGCACCTGTTGCAGAACTGAGAGATCTGAGCTGAGAATTCCTTCTGTGCCGTGAACCTGGGGCCCCCGTGCAGGGACGGAACTGTGTACAGTGTGTTACACAACTGTACAGTTACAGCGACTGGTACAGGGCACAGTCACCTCACAGGAGCTGGTGTTGGTGTTGTTGTTGTTGTTGTCGTTCATTCGTCTGCTCAGCTGTGTGTGTGTGTTTAAATTTTTTTTATTTTTGGGACGTTACATTTTATATCCTTTTTTTTTTAATGAAAAGGTTCCTGTTGGTTTCACCTTTTCATAGAAAAATGAACAATAGATGGGATATTTATAATATTAACAACCTTCAATGTATAATTAATGTATCATAATATAAATATATATATAATTTTTTTACGTGTACACAGAGGTTCCTTAACAACAGGCCAACTGGTAATACTGTAGTTTTGGGTGTCAAAGGAGCACTCACCAACGGCTGGGTCTGGTTAGTGAGATCCTCTAACGTCCGGTCAAAACATCAGTGTTGCTCTTCACTACTTTGGCATATATTGTGTTACATTTATTGTCAGTTTGTAGATTCACGAGGACACAGTGGTCTCAATGCTGCGTTTGTTTGTCAGATTTTAATTTTCCTGCCGTTCGGACCCAGAAATACGTGTGTGTTTTTACATCCATTCACACAAAGCAGACGTAAAAGAACTTGACAGTAATGATAAACGCTTGATATCCTAATTGACCCTTGTGTCCTAAAGAAGTACTGCAGTGGTACATGGACTTAAGAACATGGTGACCAGGTACTGGTGGTAGTATTTGAAAAATACTTCAGTATCCATATAATTCCAGAACCACTCGTTGATTGATTTTCTACGATCAGCTCATTAATGACTGTCTCTGGTGACACAGTAGTGTCTCACACAGAGCCGCCCCGTCCTCATGTCTCCGTCCTCTTGTCCCACAGCTTTGGGAGTCCCCGGAGGCCTGAGTCGAGGGGAGATGAGTCTTTCAGAGGTTCAGTGTCACCTGGACAAAGAGGGAGCCTCGGACCTGGTGATCGACCTCATCATGAACACGACAAGTGACCGGGTCTTCCAGGAAAGCATCCTGTTGGCTATTGCTCTGTTGGAAGGAGGAAACACCACCATTCAGGTGAGACGACGTCACAGACGTAAACAACAGCCGCGAACCACGTTTGTTAAACGATATATACGGCCATTCAGGTGAGACGACGTCACAGACGGGGAAACGAAAACAACCACGTTTGTTAAACGATATATACGTTGTCCCTCTCCCTGTACTACGACTGGTCTTCAACATCGATGATCATTTATTGGCCCGTTATCTGTCTGATCCGTGAAGCCAACTCACTGGATTTACACCATGTAGGTCAGTGTGACACACGGACAGTTCTGAGGCCCTTTTCCTTCCTCCACAGTAACCAGTCAGTCAACTGGTCAACCAGTAATGTCAGTAGTTGAAGTCATTTCATCAGTGTGTGGTTTGAGCTCCAGTGCTAATTTGAGGCAATAATTCTACAACGTTCAACTTACGTGCGTTTGTGTCGTCTGTATTTGTTTCAACGTCTTAAAACTAGCATCGTAGGTTTGTCTCTCCCCCGTCTGTCTCTCTCTCTCTCTCTCTCTCTCTCTCTCTCTCTCCATGTCTTCTCTGTAACCCTGTCTCATCCTGTCTGTGAATTCTTCCTCCTGACTGTCTGTCCGTCCATCACTCTCGGTGTTGTGTAAGCGCGGGGGCTTGCATAATCAGATCACAGCTACGAAGCCACTGTAGCAAAGATTATACTGTGGCTTCCCACGACCGCTGCAGAGCTGGGTCACATGATCAGTCTGCGTTACATAAGGCCTGTGTGAATGAACAATGAGGAATGTCTCAGCCTTCAAAACATTCCAGCCCCTCTCCTGCTCCCTCATGCTCCTCTGCTGGCCCAAACTGGGTCATGCTGGGCCTCCGGAACT